GGGCTTGGTAGAAATCGATAAAGTGCTTACCAAGCATAAGTAGGCGTGCACGACCATATTCCGAATTTCAATACATGTAATAAAATTTTTACATTATAGATATTAAAGAAAAATTAATATGGAGGCCTTTATAAGAGCACCAGAATCCAAATCAAGAATTTTAAGAAATTTTGGATGTCTATGTGTTTGTATAGAAATAGAAATAGAAAGCAGTTTTCACCAATGTATTGCTGGAGGTCTAACTTAAAATAGAGAAGATAAAAATTAGAGAGTTTCCACCTATTTGAAAATTACAGTTTTTCTAAATTGATAAGATACATTAAATATTGCAATATGGCTGTCAAAATAAAGAGGTTTCAAAAGGCTCACAGCTGATTTTTTTTTAACGTTGCCACCTGTTTGAAATAATTTATTTATTTTAATTAATAAGATAAATTAAATATTGCAATATGGGTATCAAAATAAAGAGGTTTAGGAAAGTTTACTGCCGGGAATATTTGAGGGGGGTTGTCTCATGTTTGAAAAATTTTAATTATTTAAATCAGAGGTGGCCAGTAAATGCTTTTATTTTGTGCCAGCCGTATGCAAATTGAACAGAAAGCTTTTAAAAGCTTTGGCACGCGTGCCTATGAAGTGGCCAACATTGATTTAAATTGATAAAATAACTTAAATATTACAATTCTGGTGTTAAATTAAAGCAGTTTAAGAAACTTTACTGTCGAAAAAACTTTTGAAGCGGGTTGCCACCTATTTGAAAAACTTAATTCAGTTAAATTGACAAGATAAGGTAAATATTGAATTAGTACACCTTTGAAGGAAGTAAGCGATATGTAAACTCGAGTTATAAGAATATAAATTAAATTTCCATGAGAAAGCCGAGTAGTATAAAAAATAAATACTGCATCATAAATCGAAAACTTGTTTTAAAATCTCCCTTCATAAAGCTCTGTATTTCATCTTTTAAGAACGGGTCTGGGGAGGGAGGAACAACCCTAAAATACTTTTTTCATGCAATTATTGATATGCACTATTAATTTATCTGTCGTAGTATGTTAATTTAGTGGCCAAGGCATTCGGTGCCAAGCGTTCATTGTAGCAAGCATACTTTTAACGTGCGTTCTGTCAAACCAACGCCAACGCCAAAGTCAACGCGAAAGTTCTATGTGGACCGGCCTTTAAACATCTTTTAATTTTTATTGATTGAATACTTATAATGAAATTTGTTAGCTACAGATGTGAAGTGATTGGCATATTGATAGAAATAGATCCAATCTGGCCACAGTTACATTTTTGGCTAGTCGCAGTGTTACCGTGTTATCGACATAAGAGTACGTGTTAAAACAATTTGACAGCTGTGGTCCGTAGCCCGTCGTTTCCAATGTGTTTCAAGCTTTACCTTTTCGAATTTTTCAAATCAGTTAAAGAAAACTCAACTTAAAAGGTAGTACAAAATATTGCAAAGAAGTACATTTGACTGTACTTCGAAGTACGAAGTACAACGGCTCAAAAAGAAGTACTGTACTTCCGAAAGAAGTACGGTTGGTCACATTAGGTATATACATACGTTGTTCAAAAAACGATCGTTGGCCTCAAACGACCAAGAATACTTTTCAAAAACGACGTATCTGCATACGGCAGTGTAGATACATAGTTTTTGATCACTACGCAAGCTACAATTCCGGCTGAATTACTGGAAAAAGTGTAGATGGGTCGTTCTTAAAAAACATGACCATTCTGAATTTTGTAATTTTTAAAAATTAAGTTGGCCAAATATGTTTATAATACCATATTTTAGCTTTTTATTCGAATTTTGGAGAATTTATTTGTCCACTTAATTAATGTACATAAAATATTTATAAAAAAATTATAAAATAAATAAAAAATTACTTTACTCACCGTTTTTCAACAGTAACAGAGTTGACACTGAATAAGGGTACGTACCCGGCATACAATTGGGTTCCTTACTCAACAACGCACTAAACAAGACTGAACAGTTCAAAACACATTTTGTTGATTTTAGCTAAGTTATGATGGAGAAGCATAAGAGAAATATACGCGTCATAACGTTTAACAAACATTTTTCAATAAAATGAGTGGACGTAACAGAGGGGACCAAAACCTGGGGACACAAATTTTCTTCATAAAAATTATACAAAAAAATTATTTTTCATCATTCTTTTCTATATATGGTATTAATATACACAAACTGAATAACAAAAATTGTAAATATTATTTTTTTTCAATTTTATTTCAACTGAAAATAACTATTAAATTTTTATAAATTGGCTCGGGACACAGGTTTTTGCTAAACCTTTGACATTGAAAATATTTTTTAAGTTATTTTCAGATAATTAATTATTTTTTTTTTATAATATAGTTACGTAGAATCGATAATAATTTATAAAAATGCAGATATTTTTCTATTTTCTTTTTGAAGAAACAAAATATAAAATAGTAAAGTCTGGGGACACCAATTGGTCATGTTTTTTAAGAACGACCCAGATACTGCAATGTTTTTGCAGATACCCACGCTTTACATCAGGATTTCTCGAAAATTGCTGTAGATACTCAAACGTGAAGATTTAAATCTGCAATAACTTTATCATTATTTATAATTTGAAAACTATTTTTGAATTCAAGACAAATTCAACGATGTAAACAATTCATTTTTGAAGAAAAATGCAGATACCCTTATTATAATCAGGCAGAAATATAACCGTAGTTAGAGAATATAATAATGAAGAAAAAAATTCCATTTATCTCCAATCCTACGAATTGATTTATGCAAAAAAATCGACCTAAATTTTTTTGGGATGTGCGTCTTTTGAAGAGGGTGTGTAATAAATTTGAGATTGCATAATCTTATTTGCATATGAGGATTTATAATTAAAACTAAAATAATTCGATATCTGATTTAGAAATATATTCCCTTGACATCTTTGTTCAACCGTTCATGAAATCACAACGGGCTTATCCGGTAATTTCAATCTAACCTAATCGTAAGTCCAGCGGAAATAAGAACGCCGTTGATATGATAACTAAAATATGGTTAAACCCGTAGCAACAAAATATCGAGCCCTAACCGCCAAAATAACGTAAGCGACATTTTTTTCAAAATCTTCTTTTTGATGCAGAAATATTCCTAGAATATATCTAGGTACATTTCTGCATCAAAAAGAAAATTTTGAAAAAAAATTCGCTTACGTTATTTTGGCGGTTAGGGCTCGATATCTCTCTTTTTGATTTTATTATTGAAAAGAAAATTTTCTGTGCGTGAGTTGTTAATGTAGCAGGGTTTGTTTTTGGAGATTGCCAAATAGCTTTTTTATTAACTTAAATGTAAAAAAAGACACCTAAAAAACTAATGGTATGTATGTTAGTATTTTGTATAAGTGTAATTAATGGACATATCATTTTTACTTACAGTGACGGGCAAAACTGTAACATGGTGTAACACTTTTTACTTCAGCCATCGCTATCTTTCCAAGTTCTAACGACTTTCTTACTTTTGCTGTATATTCTTGTTGGTACATCCCTGCTCCTTCTCTCATAATGATTTGAAGTCAATACAACAACAATAAAAAAACCAGCCGAAAAAAATGTAAATTAAGGCAGATGTTACAGTTTTGCACTCATATATTTTTAAGAACTTTTTAACAATTTTCAAAAAAACAAGAACTACTAACACAATGTTCAGTACTCTTTTGCTTGTTTTAGTTCCTGGATGCGATTTGGCATACCTTATTTGCATCTTTGTAAAAATTCTGGAGGTATATCCTTAGTTTGCTTTCACAGCTCATGTACTCGATTTTTCGGACTTTGATACTTATTAAGCTGTGCTTTTAGTTGATTTCGCAAATTCTCGATGAGATTCATGTCCGCGGATTGTGGAGGTTATTTCAAATTAGTAAATTTTTGCTTTTGTATCCAGTCTTTGCGAACATATGCAGTATGTTTTGGGTGATTTTTCAGCAGAAACTCTCATTTTTCGACTACATCTTGCAAATTTTGTTGAAATATGAACATATACTGTTCCTTACGCATAATGCGTACTAACGAACCAACAATATTTTTGAAATACAACCCCAAACAATTAAGATCCTACCACTGTGATTCACAGTTTGCCGTACATGATGCGCTCCAATACCATGCCCGGCCATCTGATTGAAAGCGATTAATTCAGTCTTGTCAGACCAAATAACCTTCAATTGAAACTTAAAAATATGTTTTATATGTTTTTATTGCATTCTGAACGGCCTAACATATCCCAATAGGCAACGGTTCGGTTTTCGTGCGATGCAGCAAAATGCCGCCACACTCGCAGATGTATTATGATCAAATTTTCTTTTTTCCTTTTTATGATGCCTTTGCGCTCAATTTGGCAATTCTTCGCCTCGCTGTCTATTGATTTGCTTTAAACTTTAATACCTTAAGCGCTTCTGTAATAGTGGCTGCATCGCTACTTGCTGCTAAGTTCACAAGATATCGTACCGTAATATTTTTTAACAGACTTCCTTTGTCCTTGGGAACACTTTAGGCTAAATTTTTTCTAAGTCTTAACATTTTCAAGTAGCAAATTCCAAAATTTTTTGCCACTTTTCCGCCTTTCCCCAGTAAATCTATTATTTACATTTATGGTTCCTGATTAACTATGTTATTTACTGGTGATCACTTCTTCAATAAATTACAATATAGAAAAAGGTCATCTGACTTCCAACTAAGTGAAAGATAACTGTCAAATGCAAAACTGAGAGTGAGTGCAAAACTGTAACATCTGCCTTAATTTACATTTTTGTCTGCTGGGTTTTTTATTGTTGTTGTATTGACTTAAAATCATTATGAGAGAGGGAGTAGGGATGTACCAACAAGAATATACAACAAAAGGATGAAAGTCGTTAGAACTTGGAAATATAGCGGTGGCTCAAACAAAAAGTGTTAAACCATGTTACAGTTTTGCTCGTCACTGTACATATACAATTTGGGTACACAAAATAACATACCTTCTGCTTTCGTATTGCGTTCGAATGCATCCAAATCTAGTACACTACAAGAATTCATAAGTCCAGCAATGGATGTGAAGAAGCCCACATCTTTTTTCTCCTTTAAGTGATTGAGCATTCCCATTTGAATATCTATGTTGCCACCGCGTAGTATTGCTATGCCCAAATTTAAAGTTGTCATGACCATTTCTGAGGGCACACCTTTTGATGCGGATATATGAAGAAGCACCATTTCCGCTACGCCTCGGTTTGAAAGCCGCGCTTGGTGGAATAAAAGTTTTTGTTTCTCCATTTCTTGCTCCTGAAATCCATGAAAGTAAAATTTCGAGCGTGAATGACTTTCAATTTTTCTATTCTACATACTATTTCTTATAACATGTGACTTCGCTCTAGAAATAAAGAATTTTATTGTGAGTACATGCATAGGAATGTACATGTTATGGGCTTACAATAGGTAATAGATATTTTTTTTTTGAGAAATACATAGATGTACGTACCACGGACGGTAATCATTATGAGGTTTTACCAGTTTAAAGCACAATGAACGACGACGCACCCACCAGAATTATGGGCAGCTACTCCAGCTCACCTGACCTAACAATAGTCAGTGCTGGTCTGATAAACAGCATATCATGGCGACCTATGCTGACTTTAGCATCAGACCATCTGCCACTAGTCATCTCGATTGATAAACCAGCCGACTTTGCTTTCGCGGATCACCGGACCTATGTCAACTTTACTAAAGCTGATTGGAAAGGCCTCGCGGATGCGCCTTCACTGCACTACCCACACCAACCGACGTTCAGGTAGGTGAGCGTAAATTCCGAAGAGTTGTCACTGTTTCTGCAGCCCCGCTTCGTCTCATCGGGATGTATCTCGAACCCCCGTCCGAATTTTCCTGCTGAAGCGGCTAGCCTAGCCGATGAGCGCGACAACCTTCGTCAGGCCGATCCCAGAAATCCCCGTATCAGAGATCTCAACTCGGAGATTCGGCAACTTGTGAATGTACATAAGCGGAAGAAATGGGAAGAGCATCTGAAGACCTGCAACTTCGCCTCTGGTGTGAGTAAGCTTGGGTCAACCATGAGGTCATTGTCCAACCCGACGAAGCGTGACGACAGAGTTGAAATGGACTTTGGTGACCACGCTTCGTCGGACCCGAAGCGATGCGCGGGCGATTTTAGCCGGAAGTTCATATTGCATCCTACGGTGAATAAAAAGCCAAATGTCAAGTGACCAGAAGGCTGCACAAACTGCCAAAACTTAGTGCGCCTCTTGTTTTCATCAGCGTTCTTCGTTACTTCTAATTAGATAAGTTAAGCTTTTATCTACAGCTGTAGAGCATACTAGCACTAAGAATAAACTCAATGTAAGAAGCAATGTCAGAATAAAGGCAACTCTCTACAAGAACGTACGGAGCCTTTTAATACATGGCGATCCTGCTAGGAGCTTCCAAGTGTTGAAAATCAAGAATTTTTAAATTAAATATTTTGCTAAATATTAAAAGTGAAATGGTCATCCACTTTACGGTCAATGGTGGATTTATTGGGAGTCAATTACGAAAAAAATAATGGCAAGAGCTCAAACTTTCCATGTGTGATATACTGGTGGCCAACTATTGAGCTCTGGAACATTCTTTGTAATCAGCGCTCGTAGCTGACCAGCACTGCGATTTTCTTGGCGTAGCGGTTCTTTAATGATCGTTTTATCAGCTTTCCAACTAGAACAAAGAGCAAGAAAGAACAAGAAATTTTTGGCGCAATATCAGCTACAGTAACACTATGGAAAACTTTAAACATCTACCTGTATCAGCGCATATTTGCACAAAAACATCGGGTTGCCAGAGGATTTGCAAGTGAAGCAGAAAAAAAATGTACAAATAAGCAAAGCAAATGGATTAGGCGGCAGGCCACGTGATGGATTGAAAGCAGTTCTAAAAAAACGCATCAGAAGGTTCGGTGATGATTTTATTTTTTTATTTCTTTTTAATCGTTTGAAAACGCACAATGTATATACATACATCATATGTACATAAGTAATATATGCATATTATGTATACGTCATTGCTGTACCTATTTCATTGTAAGTTCTTTTCATTACTGTTAAGCATTTATTTTAGTTTAAGAGCTAGTTATTAAGTTTATTTCTTCTGGTGTACAATTTTCTCACCGAGTGGTGTATGTATACACGGAGAGACAGAGCTTAAACTTGTCGAGCTAGCGGCACTCGCGTACACTGTTTGTAGGTGTGCACAATTTTCGAAGTTCTTTTGTTAGTGAGTTGATGGAGCCTGATGTAGAGGCAAAAATTAACCAACTTAGAAAAATTTTCGAGAAATCTCGCAAATGTTTAAATAAAAAGATACACATAAAAAGTGAAACCGGTCATAAACATGTTCAAATAATAATTGAAAGTGCCAACCAAATTCGCGGAATTTTAAACGCAAATTATGATCACAGTCTTGAAAGCCAAAAGAGGCAGGCAGAACAAATCTATTCAGAGGTACGAGACAATATACTTAAAACATTTGCAAAACAACATATTAACATAAAATACCATTTGAACTCAGCACGTCCATTTTATACACAATAGTAGAGGAATCAAGTGATTCCGAAGAAGATAGTGTAGTGGGAGAAACGCAAAGTACCAGCAAAATGCCACAAACCGTTATTGAATTTCTAAATACGGCATCGAGGTGATACCCGAATTCCATGGTAGGCAGGAAAATTTGCAAGGCTTCTTGGATACGCTAAGGTTAAGTTAGAATTGCCTCCTCAGATGACAGAAAAATATTCCACTAAGGTGGCAGTCCAAGCAATGTCTAAGAACGCGAGCAATAATGCAGTAAAGTTGATTATGAAATCCGGTCAATTTACTAACACGAACGAGGCTGTTACAAAGTTTGTGAACAGTTGCAACAAAACAAATGACGGTTCAGTTTAATTTCTTAGCGGACGTAAATCAAATGCTCAATTTACTAACAGTAACTTCAATGGCAATCGTAGTCGTGGGTTTACGAGAGGCCGTACCCTGCAGTGAAATCCCAAACTAGTCAGGAAAAATACTAGTTTACAACTAGAATTTCATGACAGAAACCGATCTAGTTCGAAAATGACCAGACTTGTACCAAGTACAAAACGATTTATTCATGCCCTGTTTTATTTGACTTCGACAGTTTAATACAATAAAGTACACAAAATATTATAACTTTTATTTGGCTATATTGTAAACCGTTAAAGCGAGTACGTACTCGCAATTATACCATACCTGTTAAATAATAATTAATAGTCATAATGATTATTAATTAAAGCATGTTTATGTTTGGATAACCGTTTAATGATTAAATACGGATATAATTAATTACTTAAAAAATTCTTACTTAAAAAAGTAATTAATTACTTAAAAAAATGTTAATTAATTAATTAATTTTAATTACATCATTGTTTCGTTACTTTTGATCATTTTCAATTATTTTTGAGTTGTTTTAATTACACGATTATAATTATTTGATTAATTTTTATTATTAATCATCAAGGCAAACTATAGACAAAAATTAAGAATATTTAATACAAATTTAACACTATTTATTGGCAAATCTAAGGCTGCTAAATAAAAATGTGTAATAAATTAAAGTGTACTTAAAAGTTTTTTATTTTATATTCATGAATTCATTTTATTTTTTTGACTCCCAAAGTAGTTGTTTTCGTCCATAATTTCACTAGTATTTTTCTGTCTATTTTGTACTAGTATGAGACTGGTATATTTCTGACCGATATCTGACAATTGCCATCTCGTAGGACATCCCCATGTTAAAAATACCAGTTGATTGCATGAAAAAAAGTTAGTTGGCTGACTAGTTGGGCATGCGGTTCATACTAGTTGTGAAGTAGTTTACAACTAGTACATTTGACTACAGGGTAGTTACTACAGAGGAGTAATGACAATCGGTCTCGAAATCGAAACAGTAGCTCCGCACCAAGACCTATACGCTACGTAAACGATGTAGAGCATTCGGAAAACACGGACAGTCCCTTGAATATTTAAAACTAAAAACATACTAATCATATTTTCCACTTAGTTAGTTATATTTCGATTTTCACAACTTTGGGTACCCGGAAAACAACTTTTTAGTTGACACTGGTGCGGATATCTCGCTCATAAAGCACAACTGCATTAACAAAAACCTACAAATAAGTACGAACATTAGAACTGGTATAGGTCAAGGATCCTTAACCACTATTTGATATGTTAATACTGATTTAAAAGTTGAAATATATTAATTAATAACGACTTTCATGTAGTAGAAGATAGGTTCCCTATTCCAAGCAATGGAATTGTGGGACTAGACTTTTTGAAAAAAATTTAACTGCAAATTGGAATACGGGCTTCAGCTAGATTGGTTAGTTTTACAACCACAAAATTTTCCAGAGGATATCGCAATCCCAATGCACAACGCACCGTCTCCCAATTCGTTATCACTCCCAGCACGATCCGAGGTAGTAAGACACACTAAAGTTGATTTTCATGAAGAGAATGCGTTCATACCGAACCAACAACTTCAAAGCGGAATATACGTAGCTAGTACAATAGTTTCAAGATCGTATCCAATAGTCCGTATTATAACGAGAATGTTTTTATAGAAAAGTTCCATATCTACATAGAAAAACTATCAGATTATGAAGTTATTGAAAGTGGACTAAGTACAAGTAGAGACGCGAATGTAATGGATAAACTATCTCAGCGCTTTCCAGCGATTGTAAAGCAAAAACTAATTAACTTATGTACTCATTTTACTGACGTTTTCGGACTAGAGAATGAAAAACTAAGTGGGAATAATTTTTATCGACAAAAGCTGAGGCTTAAAGACACTATACCGATTTACGTCAAAAACTACAGAATATCTTACTCTCAGAAATCGGATGTTCAAAAACAAGTCGATAAATTGTTAGAAGACGATATAGTGGAACCATCCATATCTGAGTACAATAGCCCAATTTTGCTAGTTCCTAAAAAGACATTACCTGGGAAAACAGAGAAACCATGGCGTTTAGTAGTGGACTATAGGCAGATAAATAAGGAACTTCTTGCAGATAAATTTCCGTTGCCACGCATAGATGACATTTTAGATCAACTAGCTAGAGCCAAGTATTTTTCTTGCTTGGATCTAATGACAGGGTTTCACCAAATTGAGCTTGATGAAAATAGTAGAGATATAACCTCATTTTCCACCGAAAAAGGCTCATTCCGGTTTAAGCGGCTTCGGTTTGGGATTTAAGTCGCTCCAAATTCAATTCAGCGCAT